CTTATTACTTATATAATAAGAATAGCTATACTTACATCAATTCAAATCAAGATTAAGATTTTTTTTTAAGATTAATAATATTCTTGCTTCTACATGAGAATATTAATCTTGATTTAATTGTTTTTGTGTAAATAATATAAAAAAAATATGTTTATAAATGATTACTAAGAAAGGTAAAAAAAAATGTGCGGAAGCATTAAACGACGATTAAATTTGCAATTAAAAAAAAATAGCTAGTCAAATCGCCACCAAAAAGTTACGTCACGATTCGTCTTTTCCCGATCGAATTCATTCGCGTCGCGCGCACCTTTTCTCTCTTTTTCTCTTCCTCCTCTCTGCCTCTCTCCGCCTCTCCTTCAGTCTCCCGACATTTCCGATATATCTCGCGCGCGGATTAATTCCAGACGAGGACGAGCAAGAGCCGTAGTGAACCAAGAGCTATCTTTAGTCTGCCTTACGAGCGAAAGAGAGTCGTACGGTCCTCTCGTGCGTTCGGTCGGAATAAGACAGCGGCCAATTTCTCGGCGAGATGCGAGGCCGCTATTTTTCAAAACGTGCCCGACGGCCAATTCGACGTCCGAATCGATAATCGATGAAAATGCAATGCGCGAGAATACAAACGACGCCAGACATCTTTTCAATTCCCCTGCAGCCATCATCAATCCTTGTTTCAACATCACGCGCGATTACGTCGGCGAATACATTTTTCTAATGGAGTAAGCCGGCTTAAGATATAATTATTAAAATTGTATTGAAAGATACGGCGCGGTTTGAAATGCAGATATATATATATGTTTTACGTAGACCCGTGGGAGGGGCCGGTCTCCTGATCGATTATTACTTAATAAAACTAAGATAAAGAATCAATATTTCTTTAGATCGCGTGTGCAATTATTGCCGATCGGTCTATCGTCAACCATTTGCGTTTTAATATCCTGATATTGAAATAATCGATATGTCATTAAGAATATATTGGCTGTTCCCGTCGAATATCCAAATATCTTATCGCGAGAGAGAGAGAGAGAGAGAGAGAGAGAGAGAGAGAGAGAGATTACACGTTGAGATATCAGGAGAATCAATATTATTTGCAATTGTGAAAGAGGCGTGTGGCTGATTGTTATTGATTCCTATTTCAGTCACTTGGAACCAAAACGGGCAATGTCTCTCTTTCGAATGTAGAGAAACCAGTGTCTCGGCATGGAAATTTCCTCGTCTTGCTCTTGGACTACGGTGCGATATAACGTTCCACTTTCGAGCTTATTGATTTGCTTATCCCGTTCATCTCTGCTTAATACAGAAAGCGAAAGAGCATGCAGGTCCGAAACACATGACGTGTTTTTCCGCTACGAGACTGATTTAGCGGACCGATGAGGGAAGGAATACCGCCGTTTTTGCACATCGCGCGTTCCCATCGCGTCGGCTCCGTAAATATTTTGAAGCCGTCGTCCGAGTCGCCATAATTCTACACAATTTCGCCAGCCCGACGAGAATTAATTTTCACGACGACGGCGCTCGACCATCAAATTAATAATGCGCGAATTCGAAGTCAAGCTCGCGGACGCGACGTGACTCATCGAATATATTAATTTCGCAACGTCCGCGTAAGAAGGAATTTCCGGACGTTCCTTTTCGGAAAATCGATGGAAAAATTTCGGAGTTAATAATTATTTCTCCCTTGTCAAATATCGTCGATCGTGGATTTTCTGCGAAATTTTCTCACTTGCCCGTAGTCTTTTCTATTCTTCAGAAAAAAATAGGAAACTTTTAAATTTTATTTTTTCCTGAGTTTTTCTCATCTACTTGTATCTTTTTTATCTTACGAGTTCAAAAAAATAATGGGAAAATTTGGGAGCTTGATAAGATAAAACTGGCGTCTTTCTCGGAATTTCAAGAGCAACGAAAGATTGGAAATTATTTCCTGGCGATTTTGCGAACATCGATTGTGACTTCGATCGCGATGTTAGAAATCTGGAGATTCCGCAGATTCTGGTCCTAGTAAAAAAACGAGGAAATTACGAGGAGTTTTAAATTAAGGTTAGGATTAACCGACGTTGACGAAACGTGGCCGGTCCTAGGGAATGTATGGAAGGGCCGATCACGCATCTGGCATTTGCACCTGCGTCGTGGCGGCTTTCTGCGAAACCACCTCTCCCGAACATTAATTCTTAAATACCGTTAAACGTCGAGATGGACAAGGGAGAACGAAAGAAAAACGGGGCGAGACTTCGTACGACGAAAGTTCAAAATGACGTCGCGTCGCGCGAAGGAAATATCCATAATCTTCTCAGATTCGCTTCCCCGAAAGCAACATAAGACAAATCGTTCCCACATGCCTTCTTTCGGTTACTCTCGATCTATGCGACGAGCTTCGGCTCCGTCTTTTCACGTCTAGAATTTTTCATGACGCACAACTCCAGTTTTTCATTCACGTTCCCGAGATTTCGAGTCCCCGGGCGAGTCTTGGACTTCTCGAAACGGATCAATCCGTGGCGCGGACTGAGAAAGAAAATTCGATTAGCGACGAATAGCCGGCGAGATCGTCGGGATTTCAACGGGTGGAGCCAGAAATTAAATCTGGCTATTAGAACTGGGCGAATCCCATCTCTTTCGGAAAAAAACGCTATGCGATCACGGAAAGGGCGCAAGGGGATCAAGAACTTTCTCCAAGAAAAATGCTTGCACTCACATAAATCAGTCCGGAGTAGTATCGGTCCTTGAGGTTATGCAGGACAGAGGCCTCGTTGAGACAGGTAAGCTCCGCCATGTCCTCGACCTTGTCGAACTTGGGCGGATTCATCTTCTGTATGTCGTCCTTCGCGACGAGTACGCGCTTGCCGGTCTCCGCGATCTCCACCTCGACCTCGTCGCCGCGCTCGCCCTTGATGCCGGCGGCGACGAAGCCTTGCGTCTCGTGCGGCACCCACACCAGCTTCTTCTGCGTCCATTCCGCCTGCGTGGCCGGGTCGTTGAAGCTGTTCCTGTCGACCGACAAGATACGCAGCTCCGGATCGGACCGGTCTACCCTCGAGTCCATGTCCGCCATCTTTGTTTAACGAGCGCGCAACAAGACGCGGCAAAGTTACTACTGCTGCTGCTACTACTGCTGCTGCTGCTGCGGCTGCTGCTGCTGTTGCTGTTGCTGCGGCTACGGCTACGACGAGCCTGC